ACGTGAGGGTGGTCATAATGTTTTGGCTCATCATTGCATATAACACATTTGTTTTTTCCCTCTTATCCAGGTTCTGTGCCTTAAGCATAGATACAGGAAGACACCTGCAAGTGTATGCACACACGCAGATATACTGATACACACTGGCCAGTGCTCACAGATCTCTATCTACAGTAACAGACCCTGTACTCTGGAGGAGATATTTTAGCTTGTCTCAAATTCCTGTATCTGTTTCATGGCTGTATTTGTATTTTTGTAAGATAGTAACAGTGCAGTCCATTGTGGGAGGAATGCAGGAAATGCTGTATCTAAACAGTAGAGAGGTGTAAGGGTTTGGTGGAATTGTGTAGCAGAGCTGGTCCTCAGCTCAAAAAGCCTTGTGTCAGTCTTGGCAGAGGTTAAATCAGAATCATAGAGGAGGGGGAGCTCTGTCAGATACAGATTGGGAGGGGGGGCTTCAATAAGCCACTCTACATGTTAGTATAGTACAGTACTTATTGTATGTATTTATGATCACGGTTTCAAATATGCAGTATGTTCATGTGTTGGCATGTTGTGTTACCACTTTAAAGCCATACAAAATAAACAAAAAAATTTGACCAAAACATTTAATTGTATTTTGGTATTGTACATATATTGATATTGTGGTTAAATAGTGCTATGGGAAGCAGGGAAATCAGGACACAGGTGCAGATGTGACGTGACTGGAGAGTCAGGCAAATCAGACAAATTCGAAGTCAGGAAATCCAACACTGACACAAGCAAAACAGAATCCAAATTGCTAGGAAAAAATTGATGATCAAAGAGGCAAGCGCAGGTCAGACAAGGGGCAAACAACTATCAGGGGGCAAGGCAAACAGAGCAGGATCAGAAAACCAGAAACAGATGTGAACAGGGAAGCACTCAAACTCTTGGTAAATAAGAAGACCTCGCACCAAGCAGTCTAAGGCAATAGATCCCCGAATCAGTCAGAATCTATCGCAGCTGGAAGGGGCATGACTGTTAATAGAAAACGGCTTCTTCCAGCAGCTTCTGTTGCAGAAGTATAAGTTTACAGTTACAGTTTTTTTAGGTTGTTACCGGTGTACTGGGTGGAGTCCCTGGTGGGGGTTCCCTAGGGTATGTGGTCAACCAGGGAATTCTGATGTAAAGAGTGATGTTGACAGGGCTTCCTTCAGACTAGTTCATAAGAAAATAGTACTTGAATTCTTTTAACATAACATGTAAATGAAACGTAAATATGTATCGAAATGGCTTATCACTGCAAGAAATATTCTTGCTTATTCATGCGTAATGTCCACGTGAAAATGCATTCAATTTCAAAGTATTCATGGATTGCTTCCTATATATATATCTGACCTCAAGATGTCATGTAGAATCATCTCATCCACTCGAGCATCAGTGACAAATGAAAATGAACATTAAAGCTGATGAAAAAGCATTATTTTTAGCATAAAACTGACCTTTTATTAAACCGTTCAGTTTCAGTTTTTTTTAAATAAATTTTGGGACATTTAGAAAAAAAGTTCCGAAAGCCAGTTTTGTCAGCCGGGGATCGGACCGCCAGGGCCTCCCTTGGCCGCCACCCGATCCACAATGCACAGAACCCCTGACATTCCCCTTGCGGGTGGTGGGCCCCTCCCCCAGGCCTGGCTCCAGGGT